GGTCAAAAATGCTCCGCCCAATCAATACTTTTCATGCATGAGGTAAGCTCTGAGAGTCCCTAGCTCTGTGTTTATTATTGGTTCAATCACAGGTTAACTTTTTTGTTGCGTGTATTTACTTGATTGAATTTTCATTTTTGCGTTCATGTGGATATGACTGCATAGTTTTTTTGAAATGACACGATTTACGAATTTCTTTTTGAAACTGTTTATGGTCGTGTAGAATTGGACTAAAACTCCGCTCTTACGCAAGATGGCTGATCTTGCTGCAAGAAGGAAGCTTGATGATCTAACTGTTGGCCCTGTCCTTACTGTAAGTGACTTTTTCAAGTACTTTAATTTATGTTCCTATTGTTCATTTTATCTCATTTTATTTTGTGATTTTTTATTAATAAGATTCCACCATAATACGAAGATAATCAGTTCAGTCATTGTGGTCGTGCTCTTTCTAGTGCCACAAACACTTTTAAATTTTTGTGATCAATTTACCTCCATATGTCATTATCTTTTTGCAGTTCACGACTGAAGCGATGCTAGGTCACATGAATAAATTGCTTCAGATATCAGGATCGAAGCTTCTGTTTGGTGGTGAAGCTTTAGAAAACCATAATATTCCTGCTATTTATGGAGCTATTAAACCTACTGCTGTTTTTATTCCACTCGAAGAAATACTGAAGGACAACAATTATGAGCTTGTAACCAAAGAAATTTTTGGTCCATTCCAGGTAAGTGGTAGCCTGATCTAACAACTTTTAATCATTTTGTGTCCATTATGTTCATCTATATCGAAAGAGGGTCAAACCATTGATTCTTGTTGATACCCTTCCTTGCAACAGATTGTTACAGAATACAAGCATAATCAGCTTCCATTGGTATTGAAAGCCCTCGAGAAAATGAATGCCCATTTAACAGCTGCCGTGGTTTCAAATGATCCTCTTTTTCTACAGGTAAGGAAAGACTGCCAATTTACTTAAAAAATTCAGCCCCTATTTGACAACCATTATTTGAAAACTCTTTTTTCTACATACTCATTTTCAACAACATATTCACAAAATAAAATATTATGCACGTAAATTCAAAACCTTTCCCTACTTTTTAACCACATTCTCCTAAAAATCATTATTCAAAGCATTACTTTTCCCAAATAATGATCGTCAAATAGTGGCTCAATTTCATTTTGCATGTATCCTCTTGGCTTCCTAAAGAATAATTGCTTTATATGCTGATAATTGTAAAGATTA